CCCCGCTCTATGGGATTTAACATGGGATTACAGCTTAAGTCTATGGCTATACTTTAACATGGGGCCAATGTTATCCTATGGGTAATGTTAATCCTATGGGACTAATGTTAAATCTATGGCATAGGTTTAACATGGGTAATGCTAAGTCTATGGCAATGTTAAGTCTATGGGGAAAATTTTCAATGGGTTTCTATGGGATTACAGCTTAAGTCTATGACATAAGGATAACATGAGCAATGCTAAGTCTATGGCAATGCTAAGGGGGGGCAGAACGATCCTATAAACCACATTATTCCTATCAGAATAGTGGTTAAAAATGTTTTCCGGGTCCGGACCCTTTAGTATGTGCCCAAGTGAAATATTATTCTCGTAACATTTAAACAAATATATTATTACAATATTGCATTGATAATATAATTTTTATATATTATATTTTATTAATAAAAATATATTCATTTCTTAATAATTATAACAAAGTTTTTAAATATAAAATGTTAATACAGTATATGAAAGATTTAGCGCATAGTAACGTATATCCTATGCATTATTTCTATGGAGAGTGAGAAGTATCAATAACTCAAAATCTACTTAATTGATTTTAACGATCAATACACCAAATTATTCACATGTAAATATAAGTCGAGACGTAACAAATAAGACTATTCTGACAATTGTGAGTATTATGCTTGAAAGTGTAAAAATTCTTAAATTTAAACTGCTTGTCATGATAATAATTTTATTTATCAATATATCAATTTGTTCATATTAATACAGGTAAAAAGTTGTATTTTCAGATTTTTGATATTTTAATTCTATCATATTATATATAGTTCATATATTTAATGCATAGTAAACCTAGTTGCGCTATTTTAACGTGATTACATAAATTAATACATGTAAGTGTCCTTTACAATGTAAGTGAAAATGCACATTAAATCTAATCAGAAATACTGTATGTGAAGCAAAACTACTATGAAAAATAAAACTTAAATATTAATAGTATTATTAATTATAAATGATAATAAAGTGATGTTAAGGTAACTTAATTTAAAATCACTGGAAAATATTTGTAGATTGTAAAATTTATAATTAAAATGGGAGCATCCTAAAAAGCATTAACTAAAACTTAAACAAAAACAACTTAAACTTAAAATTTAGACAAATATCAGTTAAATTTATTTAGTTTTAAATTTATTTTCTTTCAATTAAGCATAATATAAATATAAGTAATCTTAAAAAGTACCATTTTTATATTGAATTGTAATTAAAAACAATGAAACAATACTTATCTACGAATCTTTTTCCAATTTCATAAATTTAATATTTAATTATTCTAATTATATTAATTTACTATATTTTAATTACAGTTTTTGATAAATTGCTTTAAAAATTGTCACGTGACCGATAAAATTTTTATATTATAAAATTTTCTCAATATAGATCTATATATGCATGAAATTACAATATCGTCACATTCGCGGTTGCTGAATATTGGTCAAATTCCGGTGCTCATTACTTATTGGACGGCCTTATACAGTGATAATAAATCTATATAGAATTCCTATCCCTACACCTTCCTATCGCCCCTACGCGGATGTTGAGCTGTCAAACACTGTACAGTACAAGCTGTAAATAACAGTCACTTACAAAACCTGTAACAAAAACTGTAACAAACTTTTTATGCTTTAATAAAAAACGTGTTTTTATTTTTTAATCACATTATTTAATCAATAATTAATCTTAAAATGCAATTTAAAACATATCAATGATTTAGTAATATTTAATGTATTTGTATAGTGTGTACTGTACAGTGTTTGACAGCTAAACATCCGCGTAGGGGCGATAGGAAGGTGTAGGGATAGGAATTCTATATAGACTTATTATCACTGTATAACACAGATAATTTAAACATGTTTTATGAACTTAAGCCAAATTGAAATTTTTGTTCTTTGAATAATGAACATTTAAATTAATTTTGTTCGTAATAATTTTTTCGATTGTTATATCATATGCGAATAATTGATATTTAATAGAATAACAATTTCTATATATAGGATAAGTACAGGGTGGAGATTAATCAACTGCGGGAGTTTTTGTTATGATATGGTCAATATGTTTGACCTCCTATTTTAGAAATAATTTTAAATAAAGCAAAATTTTATCATTTTTTCTATAGACATAATGTTAAATTCAAACTTATTTTTGAGCAAAATCCTGAAACAGGTATAAAGTTAATTTTGCTCCTATTTAATAATATGCAATCAAAATTCTTGTCTTGCATGTAGTTTTTGTATATTTTTGTAGGAGAGTTTAACTATATAAACTTGCATGAGTTTACATAAAGTCATAGTTGTTCAGCACATTCTTACAATATATTATTTATATATTTGTTGGCCAATTGCCATTTTTAACCATTTGTTTAACATCTGCTTTCTTAACTTTGCCGAGAGGTGTGAGGGGTAATGCCTTTACAATTTTCACTCCTCCTCTCAATTGCTTAATAGGATTAACTCGATTATTAACGTAATCCATGAGTTCCTGTTCCCCGACCTGAGCACCACTTTTGATGGTAACAAATCCCATAGGAATCTCACCGTTCTCTTCGTCTTTCACTCCAATTACGGCCGCATTTACTACTAATTCGTGGGATAATAAAACCTTTTCTAATTCCACGGGCGAAACAATTATGCCTATTATATGATATAACGTTTAATTAAATTAATATTTATATATTTTGCAATTTTGTAAATTCCATAACATATTTACCGTTGAAATTAATCACATCTTTGCAACGATCTATAAAATAAAAATATTCATTTTCATCATAATATGCCAGATCTCCAGTTTTGAAAAAGCCATCATTTGTAATATGTTCATGTACGAAATTGCCACAATATCCAAAGTAACCAGGAACAACCTTATTGTTTATTGTGTATTGCATTATTAATGTCACATAAAATATTATTTAAATATACATGTATAGTAATTATGTTAAAATCTTTTATAATTAACGTATAATTTGATTAATATAAAAGTGTATACATTATCTCCACGAATGCAAATCTGTCCGATACTATTGGGAGGCAAAGAATTTCCCAAATTATCTATGATCTTGATCTCAACCCCTGGGTTTACTTTGCCAATAGTTTCCACATTTGGTAAACATTTACTTTCACTTAAATAAACATTTGTAACACCTCCGCACTCAGACATACCATACTCTGGCAATTAATTAATCAAATAATATTCAATATTAATTATAATTAGATTCAAAATTATATATTTAAATGAATGTGACTTACGATTTCTAAATCGCTGAAATGAAAATAAATCACATATTTGTTGATATATTTGTTGACTGAGAAATGCACCGCCGCAAAACACATCCCGCAATGTCTTGAGATATGTTTTGTTATATTTGTGTCGATATTTAATGAGAAAATTCAATTCGGTTGGAATTGTGAATATAGTGGTAACATTCATGTCGTGAATGGCATCAAATGTAGCCTCGTTGCTGTGATCGTCGCCCAAAACCACTAACTGTGCGCCAGTAGTGATACTCGTAAACAGACTGCGCTGTCCGCACAAGTGGTTAAAACCTGAGGACAACATTATATCATCTGATTTTAACGGACATATCTCCGGGTGTTGTGTTATGGCTACGATTGCCAATAAATTACGATTTGTTTGTATAATAGCTTTCGGTGCACCGCTTGAACCACTGCTCATCATAAGTGTGGCCATATTCGAGAGTCCGCTCATAACCGGCAGCTCGATATCATTGCCTCGAATTAATTCAAATGCTCTCTCAATTGATTGTGATTTTATTTTCAGTTTATTCGCACAAAACTCGTTTAGCAACATAATTGTCTAAATATATTAATAAAAAACCGGTAATATAAAATTATTACATTTTCAATGTTATTATTAGTTTAAAAAAGTATTAAATCTCACAATACTGTCATGAAAATTAAAACCTATTTTGCCCTAAAAATGGGAAACAAAATGACAGTTTGAAATATAATTGTACGAAATAATTTTGGTATACTTCTACATTTAATGTTAATCCTTAATATCGCAACAGATTTAAAGTCGGATTAATAGTCTTAGCGATATTTGTTATTAACTTTGTAGCTCTATGCTTATATATGCTTATATACACTTGCTCATATGCTTATGTACATGCCTCCGGCAGATACTAAAAGGTCCGGGCCCGGAAAACATTTTTTCCATGTACGGTAATACCAATATTTGGACGGTCAATCGGTCGACCCAAATGCCGATCAAAGTGGGCCCGGATGACACGGGCCCACCACTTTTCCGTCATTTTTCACATTTTCACGGAAAATTTCTTATCAAAAAATTTAGTTAAAAATTAATTAATTAAATAAAAAATTAATTTAAATGAATTAAGGGAGGTGTAATTTACAGGAAAAACAATTAAAAATTTTTCCGTAAAAATGTGAAAAATGACGGAAAAGTGATGGGCCCGTGTCATCCGGGCCCACTTTGATCGGCATTTGGGTCGACCGATTGACCGTCTAAATATTGGTATTGCCGTACATAGAAAAAATGTTATCTGGGCCCGGACCCTTTAGTATGTGCCTATTTTAAGACTATTTCGAGTCCATTCCGAGATAAATAATTACAATACTAACAATATATTTTATTAGTTTAATCAGGAATGATTTGCAGTTTTATATAAGTAACATTAAATGTTATATTTAACTTTAAGGATTTTTGTTGTAAAATGGTTATCATGAAAAAATTAAATAAATATGATTCTATTTTACTGAAAAGTAAATTTTCTATTTCTCTTCACATATAATTAAAACTAAAAATTATAGTTTTTTAAATGTCCATCAAATTATTATTATCGTGCAACGTATTTATTATATAGATAATATTGTAGGAGCTTTCAATATCAAACTATTTATTATATATCCCATAACGGCTACAATACTTATGACAGATTCATAGGTTTAACATGGGCAATGCTAAGTCTATGGCAATGCTAAGGGGGGGGCAGAACGATCCTATAAACCACATTATTCCTATCAGAATAGTGGTTAAAAATTAATTTAATTGTAATTAAACAATATTAAATTAATTATTTGTAATATAATTAATTAATTAATAATTAAATTAATATATAAACAGATTATTAAAAGAAAACATGATTGTTAAATAGGATAAAATTTAAATCTATGCACAAACTACCAGCGCATTTCATCCACCCATAAACTCTCGAGTCCCGTTCCCTCCCACTCTTCCCGAACCCGGCGGTCAATCCAATCGCTCTCTTCGCGGGTTATTACTGATCGCAAGTCGCCGGACATGCCTTTACGGAAGTGCGCGCTCAGTTCGAGCCGAGTATTGGCCACTTTAATGGCTTCTACGGATGTCTGTTCAACGATACGGTCTAATACCGTACGGCACCGGTTTTCTGCGGTCCCAGCGGCGGTCAACTGCCGGTCGAGAGTTCGCTCGTATTCGGGACCCAAAAAGGCACCTATCGCGCGGACGGCCGCCAGTCTGTCCTCAAGCATACGCTCGAATACTATAATAATATATACTGTATATACAATACGTTCACAATATACAGTCATTCAAAAGGAAAACTAGGCGCGGTTTTTTACAATTTGCTCTTGAATCAATAATTCCATTATAAATCCATTTTCACCGGATTGTACTTGGATAAATTTCTGATCAATTGATATATAATATGTTATTATAAGCCATTGTTTTGATATTTAATTATAGAATTACATTTATTATTAACCACTATTCTGATATGAATAATGTGGTTTATAGGATCGTTCGGCTACCCCTTCCTTCTCCCCCCTCCGCCCCCCCCCCACTCTATTCGGCTACCCCTTCCTTCTCCCCCCTCCGCCCCCCCCACTCTATGGGATTTAACATGGGATTACAGCTTAAGTCTATGACATAGGATTAACATGGGGACGCTTTAACATAGGCTTCTATAGGATTACAGCTTAAGTCTATGACATAGGGATAACATGGGTAATGTTAAGTCTATGGACAATGCTAATTCAATGGAACTAATGCTAATTCTATGGACTAATGTTAAGTCTATGGACAATGCTAACTCAATAGGACTGATGCTAATTCTATGAAACTAATGTTAAGTCTATGGCATAGGGATAACAAAGACAATGCTAAATCTATGGGATTAATGTTAACTCTGTTGAGTTGATTCTGATTTTATGGACAATGATAAATCTATGGGACTAGTGCTTTATAGTAGATTTTCTATGGCTATACTTAACATGGGGCATTTCTCATAGGATAACATGGGAGACACTTTTGCTATGGGAAAATGCGTTTACATGGGTTTCTATGGGATTACAGCTTAAGTCTATGGCATATGGATAATATGGGTAATGCTAAGTCTATGACATAGAAATAACATGGGCAATGCTAAGTCAATGGCAATGTATAGTCTATGGGTAATGCTAAGTCTATGGCATAAGAATAACATGGGTAATGCTAAGTCTATGACATAGAGATAACATGGGCAATGCTAAGTCTATGACATAAAGATAACATGGGCAACGCTAAGTCTATGGCATAGGGATAACATGGGTAATGCTAAGTCTATGGGCGTAATGTTATTTCAATGGGATAATGCTTTTTCTATAGAGATATACTAAATGAATTTGACATAATAAATAAAACTAATTCTTGTAAAAAACATTCAAAATTCTCAAAATAATAATAGTGAACGTATTTCAACAATAGTATTGAAAAATTTAAAATCCTTTGATGCATTTCCCGAATTGTGGTTAAAAATACATTTATGGAATAAATGGTTATATAAATGTCATGCAGTATTATTCTCTATTTTTAAACATAGAGGTGGTCACACGAGGCACTAATGCTAATCATATAATATGATTCATATTAAATCTATAGACAATGACAATCTATTATTTGACTAATACCCGAATTGTGGTTAACGTATAGCATCGCTGTGTGATCCTTGTTTTATTAGATATCCTGTAATAGATCCCCGAAGAGATCACTTCGATTGAATCATTGGTTCAAGAGCAAATCGTAAAAAACCGCGCCTAGTTTTGCTTTTAAATGACTATAGCTAAACATAAGTTTTGTTACATAACTCCTATTATAAACACAATATGCGATACAGTGTTATTCGTTATAGTAGTGATACAAATTATCATCATATCATACAATTAATTATTAACACATTGTATTAAATATTCAGTTTATTTAATGCAAACATAAATTAAATTATTTGTGTAGTGTTTTTAAAAATTGTATACAATATATTGTTTGATATAATGTATTAAATTATATAATTTAAATTTTATTATTCAAAATATAACAAAATGATAACTTTTAATATAACTTATACTTTCTCAATAATGACTGTAATTATAAATCAATTATTTATTTAAACATTTTTTATATATCGTAATAACTGAGAGTGCGTTATAAATGATAATTTTTTTCTGAAGTTCAGTACCTGTACTAGTATTACATGATTGTTATGCAAGTTATGCTGTATTACTTTTGATATAACTAATATTATATAATTATTGTATATTAAACATTTAACAGTTTTTATTTGGTTAACATAACTGTTTATTAATTATAAAATATAATTTCAGATGGTGTATTTATTTTAATACTTAAATTAAAATATGTAAAAGTTCTAGTAGATAGATTACTCTTAATTTACATAGAATTAATGTAAATGAAATTTAATAGCAATAAGCGTTATATGAATTGCTCTGTGCAAGAAACACCGATCTCTTATAATGCATTCATTTCAATGCTTGTAATGATTACAGTAATAAAAACTTTATTTATTTTCAATAATTAAAATAATATATCGAAATAAATTATAATAATTTAATTATTAATTGTTTTATTGATATTTTTCGAGATGTGATTTATAAAAATTAACAAATTCTGGTTTAATAAAATCATACATATTTTGGATATCAATAACTTTTTTACATGATATTTGAGATTTTTGCGCTTCACATAACTTTTTAAAAATATCATTATTTATAATTTTATTTTTAATTAAAATATTAACTTTTTTATTACCAACATGATAATCTTCAGAACAATATATATCACCATTAGGGTTATAATCAATACGAAGAAGTTTAGATACTTTAACATTTTTAATATCAGAAATCATGTACTCATTTAACAGTTTTTCAAAATCTAAAATTTTAGTTTTAATTATTTTAAATTTATTGCTATTAATGAGCTTAATATAATCATTCGGGTGTTGTATTAATGGCTTTGTTTTAAATTTTTTCCCAATTTGAGCAAAATGTGTGTCACATATATTGTAAGAATGGCCACGAATGGGGAAAACATGAATAATATTTATATTTAAAATAATAGACATTAAAACAGAAAATTTAATTAAAACCCAATTTTTATTTTGTCCACCTGCCCCATCACTAAAAAATACCAAGTTATTAATATTATTAAATTTTCGTTTAGTTTGTAAAAATTTAATAACAAAATATAGATAAGTAGCGACAGAATTACTACCTTTTTTGTATTCACCTTCTAGTGAATTAAATATATAATTAAATTTAGTTTTGTGTACAAAATAATTAGATAAATATAAATATAGGGATCGTTGATAATAGTATGAATTATTTGATAAAATGGGAAATGATTTGTTAGCAAAATAGTCAAATTCTATACAAAGATTATTGGTATCATTAATTAATTCGTATTTTAATATTTTATATTCATTGATTTTAATTATATGGTTTTCATAGTCTATTTCATTAATAAGATTATTCTTATACATCGCGCAAAAATCACAAATATCTACTCTTAAAGATTTAAAACTATAGTTTAAATTAGTTTCAAAATAGTCTTTAAAAGTTTGAAAACTTAGTTTTAAAGTTACATTATATTTATCTTTATAATAATCACAAAATAATTCAAAAAGTTTTGTATGATTTAGTTCTGTATTAAAAAATAGTTTTTTGCATTTATTATTATAATGAGAATCACGAGAAGGAATTTTTTTCAAAAATTCAATTAATAAATCCCAAACTTTTTGATTTATTTTATTAACACTTTGAAGTGAACCTCTTTTATCAGTAATAATAATATTTCCTTTAATTATATTTTCTTGAATTTTCCTAATTCTTGATTTATCTATTTGATACAAATTTAATAAAAATTGTACACAAACTTTAATAAAATATCCATTGTTTTCATAATAAAAATCCCATATATTTTTCCCATTTTCATTGGATTTATTATTTTTGCGAAATAATAATGTCTTTAAATAATTGCATTGTTGAGACCAATCGCTTAATAAATAAAACCTATTAAATATATATTAGAATTATTGATAATTAAAAAATTATTTGATAATTTACTTATTAAACGACACTTTTTGTTTTGCACATGAAATGTCTTTAAAACAATTTTTACGACAACATTCAATGACTTGTATAAACTCTTTTTCAGGTATTTCAACGCCATTAGTATTTATATAAGAATTCCCCTTAAAATTGTAATAATTTATAATAAGTTATAAATAAGTAATAAATTATTAAATTATTTTTAAACATTACTGAATTAAGTTTGACTTTTCGTATGTTTCGTTCCCATAGATTTGGATGAGATTTCCTTTTTACTCCCTTTTCATTTGATTTCACATTTATCTCATTGTCTATCACTTTAAGAACACTTCTTTTATTTGGAGATTTATCACTAAATTTATTTAATTGATTATAAAATGTATTATTCATTTTGTTTGCAATTAAACCACGTTTAAAAAGTTTATTATTAATATTGACATAAGTTTTGCAATGCCTTATATAGTGATTATATTTTTGTGTTACAGCTATGAAAGCATTCAGAGATCGGTGTTTCTTGCACAGAGAAATTCATATAAGAGCTGTAATAATTGAAATACGGGCCTCAAGTGGAAAAAAATTCGAGTGTGCGTTTAAACAATATTTCCATCATGTTTAACATGTAAAGCATTAATGTTATATAATATTATACTTACTTGGCGCTGGGTTATGCCATGATCATTATAGTGGTGGCCCGGGCTGTGTTTGATCATTGATGAGTCCGACACTGTTCCTAATGGGACGGAGGAACGCGTAATTTTTGATACCCAAAAGTATGTTATTTACTTATACCCACTTTTAATACAATAATTGATGCACTCATGTAACATTATCCATAACATGTTCTTTATGGTTAGATGAACATTTTATTGCCACAATTAATTTATGAATAATGTGGTTTATAGAATCTCGCAGCCCCTTCCAAGAATTCTCCATATTTGGAAGGTTTTATTTATTAAAATTCATGTTATATTTTATAATTTGAAATTTGCAACGTGAAAATATTTTGGTTATAAAACATTAAAACATAAAAATATTAATAACCATAAAATTTATTAAAATTAATGTACAAAATATTTTTAAATGTTATTATCAAAGATGAGAAACCATGTCTTTGTCTTCGACTTGTGTGGTATTAAATCTCTTAAGTTGTGATTCTTTAGCCATATTTAGTAAATGATTGAACATATGTTCTCCTGTCTTGCGGCACATGTCATACAACTGTCCATTTCGCTGCAGTAAAACAAACGGTTCGTCAAACTCTACGATCTCTCCCGCGTCCAAAACCTGATCACGTGATATACAAATCATTTCATAAATAGTTATGAATTATAATTAATTTTAAATATGATTGAAATCCATACCAAAACGCGATCGGAATCCATAATAGTGTTGAGTCTGTGAGCAATTGTAAGGACAGTACAGTCACTGAATTTGTGACGAATTGTGGTCTGAATTAAGGCATCGGTTTGATGGTCAACATTAGCGGTCGCCTCGTCCAGCACTAGTACCCTANGCGATCGTAAGGACAGTACAGTCACTGAATTTGTGACGAATTGTGGTCTGAATTAAGGCATCGGTTTGATGGTCAACATTAGCGGTCGCCTCGTCCAGCACTAGTACCCTATTGTGCCGCAGTATAGCCCGCGCCAGACATACCAACTGCCTCTGACCTACACTCAGATTAGCGCCCCCTTCGGCCAACTGGCCGTCCAACTGGCCCGGGAGGTCCCCCACCGCCCCCTTCAGCTGCACTGAGTCTAATGCACTCCATATTCTTTGGTCGCTGTATTCGCCGAAAGGATCCAAATTTTTTCTGACGCTTCCCGTGAAGACCACCGGGTCTTGAGGTATGATTGAGATCTTTGACCGCAAGTCATGCAAACCTATTGATCCCGTGTTAATGCCGTCCATAACTATCTCCCCCTTTGGCTCAACCATACGAAACAGCGCCGATATGATGGACGACTTGCCGGCGCCCGTCCGTCCGACTATCCCTACCTTCTCTCCACTCTTTATAACACAATTCAAGTTTTTGAGCACCGGTTTGTCTGATCCCTCGTAACACAAACTCATATCCTTGAGCTCTATCTGTCCCTTCTGTGGCCAATTGGGAGGGGGTTTATGGCTATCCTGGGCTGTGAGGGCCGCCTCTTGTGGTAGTTTTGAGTACTGAATGATGCGCTCGACTGAAGTCATCTGATTCTCCATCTCCGCCGATTGATGGGCACCCCATGCGGTCATTCCGGTCAACATTAGGGCTAATTTATTTTAAAAACATAATATTACATTAAAACATTTTGTTCAATCTAATCAATTGATTTAATTTAATTTCAAACTAATTTGTTAAACAGATTTTGAACAGCGCGCGAAATTTGCTAAATAACATGAAAACTAGATTATTATTTAATTGCAATATTATTTATTAAATTAATATAGAATTTAGCGCTAAAATCAATACTAAAATCTTTATCTCGAATACTTATTAATTTAATTGACTTTGTTTGAATTTTTTTTTCTAAAAGTTTATATATTTAATTTATGAATATTATGCATGAATTCGATGTAGAATTTAATGGTGATCACGAATATAACAATTAAAAATTATTTTCTTTCGAAAAAGTTAGTTCCCACACCTTGCATATTATTTGGAGAATTCCCAATGTTTGGGAGGGAAGATATTTGGGAAATAACAATTATAACACTAAGAACAAACCTGATGATAAAGCGAGTCCCGCCTCTCCCGCTCCCAACTGTTCGTGAAATACCATAAATACGGTAAATACGATAACCGTATAGAAAAAACATAGTCCGTCTATTATTAAAGCAAATGCATGGGTAGCAGCAATTACGAGCACCGAGGTGGCCGAGTGATCATCTTGGTAGACGTAAAATTGTTTCTCAAACATTTTCTGCGCCCCAAAAGCCCTAACACTGGCCAACCCATTGAATGTTGTGGTCACGTGTGAAAACACTGGGCTTTGGGCTATAAGTTGTTATTTGGGAAATTATGAATTATTTTATGTATTCAAATATTTTTAATCACAATTCAGCAATAAATAATTTGGTTCATTGGATCGTTAGTTATAATGTTGATCGTATGAGAATAATGCATGTAAACTATGGAATTAGTGGTAAATCTGTGGCACTAATAGCGTGACCACCTGTGCTCTATTTCAGAGAACAGTTCTCTATTTGGACCTGCATTTAGACAAAATAGAGAATTGTTTTCTATTAGAATTATAAAATAAATCATAGAAATTTTACTAAATTTATTAAATATTTATTTATCTATACAATAATAAACTTTTTTAAAGGAATTGACACTTTCTTGATTAATAATTGCAATTTTTATACACCTAACACAATAAATCTTACCTAACATTAGGATTAAATCATCTCGATTTTTAACTTTTCAAAAAAAATTACCATAAAATATGTGTTCTCTATTTTAAAAGAAATTTGGTCAAATGTTCTCTATTTTTAAACATAGAGGTGGTCACACGAGGCACTAATGCTAATCATATAATATGATTCATATTAAATCTATAGACAATGACAATCTATTATTTGACTAATACCCGAATAGTGGTTAACGTATACCATCACTGTGTGAACCTTGTTTGTATAATATTAAAACTTACTTAAACCTTCAGCACGTTTAATATCCCTTGCTGATTTGACGTAAATAGATCTAGCTGCTAAAACCACTACAACTAGGAAAAATGCTGGTATTATTAAATATGGGTTCACGATCGAGATTATTATTATATAACCAATAAATGTGGTCATAATCTAAATAATTAATATTATATATGGATATTATTAATTCAGTGAAAATTTAAATTGTATATTGTATCAAGATAGTAAATTACCGAGTTTAACTCAAACGCTGTACTTGGCAATTGCTCGTCGATTGTACCAAGATCTTTTGAAAAACGATTTAATATTCGACCTATTGATTATTAATGTTAATTACTGGTTTAATTAATAAATCAAATAACTAACCAACTGGGTTATTTTCAAAGACATATATCGGGGCCCGTAATACACGATAAAACATAGTGTTGTGCAGATTAACTGAAGCCCTCATAAACATCATAAACCATGTAATGGTTCGTAATAGTGATGTGATAAACAGCGCGACCATAATTGAGGAGTAGATAATCACATCCCTGTTCTGCTCAGAACTTTTAATACTATTATTGTTTTTGTCAGTCCTGTTGCAAAAAATGGATAGTTTGATAAAAATTAAGCACTGCTTAATGTTTTCAATTTATTCACCATTGTGTTAAAAAATAGTCCGATCCGTGAACAATAGCTTGAGCAATAATTGAAAATAAAAACGTGATGGATAATAGCAAAGGCCCGGCGCCTGCCTTAATAAATGTGCAATATGCGTTGCCAGATATTGAACCCGTTTCCCGGTCCTCATCAGTTATTTTCGGGTCGTTGTCCTCGTTTTCATTCTTAATAATCATAATCTATGTATTTATTTGTTTATTAAAAGTACATTATTATAAATATATTGGTTACATTTCTAATTGTCAAACTCTCGGTCACTAATGTTCTCTTGGATTTTATTTGATTGTCATCGCTGTGTTGTGAAAATGTAACTTTATTATCCGAGTTCTCCCTATCAACTCCTTCCATTTCGTCCGCTTCCTTCTCCTGATCGCTGAGAATAGACATGAAGTCTAAGCCCCGGGACTGGAGCTCATCATAGGATCCCAATCCCAGACACTTTCCCTCGTCGTTCAAAACCAATATTTGTGTCGCTTTTCGTATGAATTGGATTTGATGTGTGACTAGAATACGGATTTTGTCGCACAAGTAGTCGACTATACATCTGGTGTTCATTATATTGCGAATACATCATATTTTAAACTTAAATAATAATAATTATTATAACAATCATTTCATTACTTATTAAATATATGTTCGGCAACTGACGCGTCGACAGCACTTAACGGGTCGTCCATTAATATAATGTCAGAGTTTCGATACAGAGCTCTGCATCGATACAAACGATTGTAATTATTTGACAATTATTCATTAACTATGTAATTTAAATTTAACGATCTATTTTTCATAAGCATATTGTATTTTAACCAAATTTAAATGCACAAATACGTATATAATAGAATATCAGTAATATATAATAGAGACTAGAATTACTCTTACAATGATCTACAGTTAGCGTTGCCAAACATACAGGAATATCCTGTATTATACAGGAATTATCACAGAATACAGGAAAAGACTTGCCTGTTTATGTATAAATACAGGAATAAATATTTCAAATAAACTTAATTTCAAAGAAAATAAGCTGTAATACAGGATAATACAGGAATTCTTGACAATTTTTTCACATTTATACAGGATTTTCAAAATATCATTTGGCAACGCTATCTACAGTACAAAAGTATATACTTTATAATTGCATTGACCCAAACCTGGCTAACGTGATGCGGGCCTTCTGTCCCCCCGACAGCTGTACTCCTCTCTCACCCACTAATGTCTTGTCTCCGAACGGGAATCGATCAAAGTCTCGTTCCAAAGCGCACACCTCTACCACTCGTTTATAACGGGATTCGTTATATTCGGCCCCAAAAAGTATATTATTTCGGACACTAGTGTTGAAACTCCAGGACTCCTGACAGACATAGCTTATCGATCCCACCGTTTCTATACTCCCCGACAGAAGCGGCAGTTCTTTCAGAATTGTCATCAGTAGTGAGCTCTAAATAAAGTTGCAAATTAATTATCTATGAACTTATGATCTATTATAGAGTTTTCATACCTTTCCCGCCCCCACCGGTCCAATCACAGCCAATAAATCACCGGCTTTTAAATGAACCAAAATATTTTGAAGAGTTGGATTCGGGCTTTCCTATAATTATTTTCTAAATTATAATAAATGTGCCAATAGACACAAAATATTATTTCATACATCACTCCATTTGGCTGTTATGTTATTAATGAACACTTCGGCCATTTGTTTGCCATTTGTATTTTTAATGATTTTCATTTGCCTTTCTCCTAATTGTAAAATTGTCTAAAAAATATAAATTAAATGTTTTTATTATATAATTTTTTACACCATGGTCAATATTACTTGTATTCTATTACAAGAAACTAATGCCTCGACGATAGACATGATTGCCTGTGGGAAGTACAAGGTCGTATTGATTTTAAAGGAATTGAATAACAGCATTGAAACGAATACAGTCTTAGCGTCCAGCCCATAACCGATGAGTACCAAGGTAATAAAACTGGGAAATAAAATCAACTTGGACGCCACTTTAAACAATGCCAAATTGATTGCCTTCAGTAAACAAGATCTCTGCATACACGACACTTCCTGCCTAATTGTGTTGGAAATTATTGATTATATTATGGTTTATATAATAGTTGACAAATTGTATCAATAATTTTCATTTACTTTCGGTCATCAGCCACGAGGTCTGCGAAGTGCTGTTCCCAGGAATACATTTTAATAACACGCATACCGGATATAATCTCAACCATGTGCCGGAGCCGATTGTCAGTCAGCCCAGCCGTCATTAATCTGGTTAATTAATAAAATAAATGAAGTTGATAAATGTTCTATAAAATAATATAATGTTTACACGCGCATACCGAACTTTTGAAAACATTTTGCCCATGAACCATTGAAATACCATAAATAAAATGGTTAAACCAAATGGCACCAAACTTGGCCATCCCATATACTTGTACATTATATATATAGTGATGACGGTCTGAATGGGCGATATTATTAAATAACTGGCGTAGAATGCAAGCTAAAATCAAATAACTGTCGAGTTAGTGCTGTGAACTAGGCTAATTATTATATTAGATTGTAGTAATTATATACCTCGTCAAATCGCTGTGCATCGTTAGACATTAAGTTTATAATCTGGCCCACAGTTGTCTTTCTCAATGATTGGTGACTCAGTTTCAGAGACTATTTTAACATGATATAATTGAATTATAATGTAATTATAAACATATTTTTAATTTCAATTCAGAATTATAATTAAAGTTTATATACAGTATTCATAGCCACCCTTTCTTTCATCTAACAATCGATTTGAATAAAACTAATTATTTATAAACAAAGATCACACAGCGATGCTATACGTTAACCACAATTCGGGTGGTGCTCAAAAAATAGATAGTATTTACATATTGCGTATAAGAATTGTATTTTCAAACTTTAATTTTTAAAACATTGTTAAATGAATATCAGTTTTCAAATTTTTAACTGTTATTTCATTTTATTGTTTATATTTTGAAAATTTTCTAATGTTTTATCTATAGACTCAACATTGTCCATAGAATCAGCATTAGTCTCATATACTTAGCATTACCCATAGACTTAGCATTACCCATAGACTTAGCATTGTCCATAAACTTAGCATTACCCATGTTATTCCTATGTCATAGACTTAGCATTACCCATGTTATCCCTATGTCATAGACTTTAGCTGTAATTTCATAGAAACCCATGTAATCGCATTTTCCCATAGCACAAGTGCCCACATGTTATCTAATGGGAGCCTTCACATGTTAAAGTATAGCCATAGAATTAAAATAGGATCCAATGTGATTTCCCATAGGGTGGGGGAGGGAGAGAGAAGGGAGAGATAGCCTAACGATCCTATAAACCACATTATTCATATCAGAATAGTGGTTAAAAAGTCTTAATAATTCATAATAAGCTATGAACCTAACGTTCCTATAAACCACATTCGTTATCTATGAATTGTGGTTAAACATTTATTTAAATAATTATTATGATATATTATTAATTACATGATAAGTTATATAATAATTAATAAAGAATGATAAGAATATAATACCGCATAACAAAATTTGTTATATATAATATAATATACAAAAAATTTTGTTCAAATTGTTTAATCATCAAGCGTGATCATTGTGAAATTTAACAAAGACATCGATTATAGAATTGTTTGGCCTCTTCACTATCTGGCCCCACAGTTTAATGGGACTTAACATGTGATTACAGCCTAAGTCTATGTCTATACTTTAACATGTGGTTCTAGAGACTATGGAGAATTAAGATAGGGTTACAAATAACTATATGCTTATATTTTAACATTGGTACTGCTAATTCTATGGCAGTGCTAACATTATGAACAATGCTAAGTCTATGCCAATGTTAATTTTATGAGTAATGCTAAATCTATGACATAAGATTATCATGGGTAATGCTATGTCTATTGACAATGGTAACTCAATGAGATTACCGCTAATCCAATGACAAAAGTTAAGTCTATGGACAATGCTAAGTCAATGGGGAGTGCTAATTCTACGGACTCTTATTAAATGTAAAGTTAATGATAATCAATTTTTAATGTAATATCTTAATTGTAGTAAACGAACAGCATTGCTGTATGATTATTGTTTTCTTTATAAATTATACATTGGACAATCTCTATATTTCTCATAGGTTGAGCAGTAACATGGTGATTAAGAATGTATAGTATATAGAGAATATCACGTTACCTAGGTTTAAAATAAAGTGTGTAGCGGGTGTCGCGTATATGACACTCTTATATACAGTTTGCAGAAATAAATTATATTTTTAAAAGTTATAAAAGTCAAAAGTTTAAAAGTTATAAAGACAACCTTTAAAGTGGAATTAATTGACCGCCCTATTATATGAAAAATGCGGTTGAATCCGTAGCGCTATTTCTCCCACAAACTCCCGAACTCTATGAAATTTAATATGGGTTACAGTTAAAGTCCGTGGCTATAGTAGTTATGTTACTATTATAATTGGAATAAAACTAATAATTTCTGACATTATTTTACATTTAGAATTATTAGTATAGTGTGTACACATATAATGTGTGATATATTTATTCTTATTTCAATCTTATTTGCTTTAAACATGCAACTGACGGTTTAGTTGGTTAATTTCCTATGTAAATGGGTAAATAAGTGTTATATTTTTTTCTAAATATCTAACTAATTAAATTATATGTATAGGTTTCGAGTGGAATAATGGGTTAGATTTGGTTACAAATGGCATTTGGTTTTCAACACCAATGATCGTAACCAACAAATCGGGCGAAGAGTTGGCCATTATTTTAGTGGACACTCAGGGACTGTACGCACAGAACTTCTCGGAGTCGGACTCGTCAGCAATCGTTGGCCTGAGTCTACTCATGTCGTCGGTACTCATATTCAACGTGTTTAACAATCTATCAGAAGATGTGTTGAAAATATTGAAATCCTCTCTTGATATGGGTTTAGAGGCTGCCCAGAAAAGTGGCGACTATAAAGATATTTTGGATTTTGATAAACCTTTTCAACAATTGGTAAAAAATTTAGTTTATAAAGGTTATGGCAATCGGAGTTCTTTTATCCAGTAGGCCAATAAAATCTGTTAAAACATAAAATAATGAGTTTTTTAAACTTTACTAGCTATAACTTAATATTTAATTTACGAGATTTTAGCTTTAAAATAAAATTTTCAAAAATTCTGTTTATTAACATAATTAATATTTAATGTATTATTAAATAATTTATTTAATTTTATTTGAATAGTATATTTTCCAGTCCCATAGGTTAAATATGGACAATTTGCAAATGTTTGTTAAGTAATGAAATATTAATTCCAGCAATCTGATGATGGTAGTTCAAAACTATCATAACACGTTAACAATAGCATTTCTGTATAGCATAGCGCCCTCTTCTGACCCCCTGTCAATTGTGATAAAACCACAATATTTCGAAATTATCTAATGAATCAAAGATTTTAATAATTTTTTATACAAAAATATAAAATACTAGAGATACTTATACTAGATATATGAAAATTATTAGACAATTTACAGTTTTGATCTAGCTGATTTTATTAAATGATATAGCCGTTTCCGAGTAGACAGATTTTATTGGCCGACAGAAATCTATTTATAACCATGAATGCATATATTAATAATTAAGGCTGAAACTTGTGTTTTTATTATATATTGTAGTATGAGTCACAAGTTTCAGCCCTACTAACATTATGGTTTATGGGATTTTACGAGTGTCTTTTTTCTTATTTAACTTGATTGGCTTTAACATAAAATCCAAGTTTAAAACTATTGTGTTATTTTAACATATAATTTTAAATAGAAAAGTGTGCCAATAGACCTTTCTGATTTAATGCGGGTTGATATGTTTGTGCAGAGTTTGGCCACCAAATAGATATTCAGCAATAAATTCGTGTCAATAGCCATAAATACCCAACACATAAATATGACGAAATTTCTAATCAATTTCATACATTTCAATGCATTGAGAAATGTTTCACATGTGTAATGTCATTTACTAATAAATGTAATTTTTAAGCCCTGTAAAAATATACACATATTTGAACATAACTCGGGTGTTTGTAACCATTGGCACAATTGGATAATTGAATATTCATCTCGTGACCACAATCTACCCATATTCACCAAACAGCATTAAATCAAGAATGACCCTTTTGGTAGTTTCATTTTTAATGTTAATCTATGGGAAGTACTTCTATGGGACCAGTAATAAGTTAATGATATAACAATTATAATTTTAACAACAATTTTTAACCACAATTCAGTATGAATAATGTGCTATGGGAAAATGCGATTACATGGGTTTCTATGGGATTACAGCTAAAGTCTATGACATAGGGATAACATGGGTAATGCTAAATCTATGACATAGGTTTAACATGAGTAATGCTAAGTTTATGGCAATGCTAATCCTATTAGTAATGCTAAGTCTATAGCATAGGGATGACATGGGTAATGCAAAGTCTATGGCATAGGGATAACATGGGTAATGCTGTCTATGGCATAGGGATAACATGGGTAATGCTAAATCTATGGCAATGCTAATCATATGGGTAATGTTAATTCTATGGCAATGCTAATCCTATGGGTAATGCTAAGTCTATGGCATAGGGATAACATGGGTAATGCAAAGTCTATGTGAGTAATGTTATTTCAATGGGATAATGCCTTTTCTATGAAGATATACTAAATCAATCTGACATAATAAATAAAACTAATTCTTGTAAAAAACATTCAAAATTCTCAAAATAACAATAATGAATGTATTCCAACAATCGTATTGAAAAATTTATAATTTTGATGCATTTCCCGAATTGTGGTTAACGTATAGCATAGCTGTGTGATCCTTGGTTTAAATTAATAAATAATATATTTATAATAACTTATTTTGACTTTAATCATATTTTAAATTTACCATTTATAAGGTATTTGTAATAAGAAATTGGATGACTGGCCACATACACCCATACGGGGCAGAAGGAGGTATCCAATATCTGGATAAATTATTAATTGTCAACAACGATCAGCCTCCAGACGCGCGCAGCGTCAGACAAATTATCCTTAATAATTTTAACGCAATTGGGTGTTACCTAATGCCTGGATTAGGACCGGAGGCAGAAGTTGCTGAATTTAATGGCTGTCAAGAAAAGCTGTCCCCAAAATTTGTTGAAATACTTAATGAATTTTGCCAAAATATTTTAACATATGATAATTTGATGCCAAAGTTAGTCAATGGACACCACCTGACGAGTTCAACATTGTGTCAGTATCTCAAAGTATTTGTTGATTTGTTTAATAGTCATCATGTTCAGGATCATGTCATGTTCGAAGATTATAATAAATTTGCTGATTATAATTTAATTAGTCAAATTAAGGTAAAATATCTATTTTAGTACTTTATATATTATACTACAAATATTTATCTAGATCTAGAATAGTCAATATTATAATATTAAATGTGCTTTATATGACAAATTTATTTTAAAAAAAACCAACGAATTTTTAACCAGAAATCATGTAACAATAATATGGTTTACAAACTCGTTCGGTCTCAATTAACCCGGATTTCAAACCCAATGGGATTTTAAGTTTAAGTCTACAAAATTGGTTTATTATCTGTAATGCTAAATGAATAAATAATGTAGATTTTAATAACAACGTTAAATTTATGGGTAAATCTATAAAACTAGTTCTAATTATTGATTAAGTCTAATATTTAAAGCACCCTAGCAATTACATTGAAATATTTATAACATTTTAGAATTTTAATTAGTTGTATAGCATAACTGTGTGATTAGCGCCGTAGTTTTATATGTCAAACATAAACAGCATTCATGCTAATTTAACATTCAGTCTATTGAGTATGAATTTCGGTTTTAATTCGTATCATAGCTAAATTCACAGAAAAAAAGTTTACAGACATAGTGATTCAGAATTGTACCACATTTAACATACCACAAGACAAAAAATATATTGAGAGGCTATGCTGATTCCACGTATATGGCATCTATTAGTTATTGCATAAACTATATTCTGTAAATTAATTGATCGCTTACATTATTTGAGCTAAATTAACAATAATTTTAAATAAATATACATTTATGTACATTAGGATGATTATCACAGCCAACTACAATTGGCAATTGAAAATTTGACTGTTCGCGGAACTGAGGCCTTTGCCGTTGAAGCAGCGAATATTGCAGGCGTTTGTGAGCAAAAATTTGAAACATTAATAAAATCAACAAAGGATGATATCGTGGTTGAACTGAGAAACGCTTTGGAGTCAGGCATAATAGATTTAACCAAAAAGATTCGTTTTGAATATGATAGACACTATATAGCAGCCATTGAAATCAAAATTGATGAATTAGTGGATGAATTTAAACTAAATATCACCAACTTGTTATCCAACAAAAATAAGTATTACAGCCAAACTGAGCTGATGAATATAATTACTGTTCAAATTGATGAGATATCGTTAAAGTTTGAACAGTATTGCCAATATGATTACGAATTAGCAATACCATATATGAAAAAGGTTTGTAAATTATTGAATTATATGGTTATAATTTGTATGTTTATTTTGTAGTTAGAAAGTCAAAAAGAATTTTATAAAAGATATTTTGTTGAAGAAAATAAACAAACATTAAACACACTACAAGAATTATACAGGACTGAAGTAGCACAATTATCATCTTTATATGACGATGTAATATATGTTCATTTTGATTATACCACACTCATTGTAAAAAACAAAACTTATTGTATATTCTTATATTCTATAGACAATGGACAAATTATTTACGAACAAAAATAGATATTACAATTACAATGATTTAGAGAAACTGCACATTGAAACAATAGCAAATGGTGACGCTCAATTAGATAAATATATTGTCAACGATCACGCCGTGCCAATTGCACCTTACAAAATAGAACTCAGCATCTATTGTAAAGCCAAGTATTCATCCTTTCGTGAGCTTAACGACTTACGGAGAGAAAAAGCAGCCGTTCAGACAGAACAACATATGCTCGACCTTACTGCTCAATACGAAGAAGAGTTGGATAAACTTGTAAGACTGACTAACGCAGATACATACGACGAGTATGCTGCTGAAGCTCGACTTGTAGAGATACGACTGATTGACGAACACAAAAGTCGAAATCGTGATGACCAGTTAGATGTTAACCAAAGAGGTCGCATGTTGAACATGACAGAAGTCGGTACAAAATTTGCCGAAATTTTGCTTGACACAAAACTGGTGTTTATTGAGCGCAAAAAGGATCGCGTATTGGCCACTGAAAGGCTAATGAGCTTAATTTTGTCCGATTATAATGTCAAAATGGATAGGCGACGGCGAGATACGGCCTTTATACGTACCGATCGCTTGAAACATATTCATCATGAGCTTACCGGAGAGTTGATCAAAGAGTATACCGAGCGACGTGGCCACCTGTCATTTGACAAATTCTGTGACCATGTTAATGACGTTTTGGCAATTGCATACCGAGTCGTAAGCAGAGATAATGATAAACACACTCCGGCGCTACCTGCCGTAGGAATAGATTTAGGTACCACAAACTCGTGTGTAGCGTATTATAAACCTGGAATAGGGGCAAATTGTGTGGTGGTGTTTGATAATGACTTAAGTCGATTAACAACACCGTCGGTCATCGAGTTTAACGCTTCTAATGGTGATGTAGTTGTTGGCGAAACAGCTAAAGTTAATTTCCTATCAAATCCACGAAACACAATCTTTTCCATTAAACGACTAATTGGCCAAAAGTTTAGTTCAACAAATGTGGCAAACGACAGAGAATTTTGGCCCTTCCGTGTGGTGGACATGGGTAACGACGAGCCGGGGGTTGAGGTTGAGACGGGACCTGACGGTTTAATACAGAGGTTTATGCCCGAAGAAATTTCCGCTCACGTGCTTAAAAAGATGAAAGATGTGGCCGAAGAGAAACTCAGAACAGGTGGAGAGAGGGTAGTTATCACAAATTGCGTAATCACAGTCCCGGCGTATTTCAACGACGATCAGAGAGATGCTACACGAGCCGCTGCCATTATGGCAGATCTAAAGGTGTTAAAAATTATTAATGAGCCCACAGCAGCGGCCCTTGCTTATCAGCTTAATAGATTTCATGATCTAAAAACAAAGTGAGTTATAAAATATATTAAATATAGAGATTAAAATTAATTACTGTTAAATTTCGTAACTTAGATCTTTCGATCTTAGATTTTTGCCAATCTTAGAGTCAAACTCAAATTCCCGATTTACTACATAGAAGCCTAATGTTAAATTCCCTCATATCTTAAAACTTCTATTTTAGACTTTAGAGTCATTGACAATGACTCATTGTCTGAGACCTAATAGGTCCGTATGTGCCTCGTATCTTAGGATTACAAAAATTGACAAAAATAACGTTTGTAATTTATTTGTATTTCTTATCTGATTTTTTCCCCTTAATCTTAGAATTCGCTTTTATCTTAGATTTATCTATTTACTTAAGTATATCAGCCATTTTTGCTCTTTTATATTAGATTATCGATTATTAATTAAATTAAAATTTATTCGGAAACGTTGATTATTGTCATTATAGGAATAGATTAAAATTTTAAAATATTAACTTATTAACATACTATTTCTTAATTTTCTGCTAATTTACACATTCAAAGACAAATGCATATCCTATAAATATAGTATTACAATATAATGCACGCACAGCATAGGTAACGGTCGGGAACAACACACTTACCAGCCGGGAGACTATCTCCCGGCACTTCCTGTCTGTTCCCGTAAGTTCCCGGCGCTTCCCCGGCACATTCCAGAACCTTCCCGTTCGATTGCGCGTGTATTAAGTGTGTTATTAATAAAGTCGAACACAAATTAAAGTATAGTAATTTAATAATTAGAAGTTAAAACATATGAAAAGAATACAAAAAGTTAGTCTCAACACTGGATACTATGTGCTTAGATGGTTGAGTTAAGTAACTTTAGTGTAAGAGTCATGTAATCTTATTGCCAGTGCTTGAGAACTGTGCCCTGTTATATACTCAGTCTTCCTGCTCTGGAATGTCAAAACAATGCGCGATTAGGGAAAGGAAAATTGACGGGGGGTTAGCACTAAAAATAACATGGGTTTCTATGGGCAGGATTTCATGGGTTATACTCTTATAATACATAGAATGAACCGTTAACATACTATTATTTTTGAATTTTAGTTATAAATACGTAAATCTACTAGTTGTATTAGTATTAAGATACCAAATAAGCTGAAAATTTTTAACTATTAAGCATATTTACATTGAATATTGTCATCGAATGAATAATAATTTTTGTAAACTTAATATTACCAAGTAAAATGTATTTAAAATATTCTTGCGTGATATTAATTTACTAACTTAAAAATAGACTAAACAACTTTACATAAATAATTTAAGATTTTAAAAAATTAAACAGAACAATATTGATATACGACTATGGTGGTGGCACGTTCGACGTATCGCTTGTAAAGTTGGAGAGAGGGAAAGTAAATGTTTTGGCTGTCGATGGTGATACACATCTTGGCGGAGACGACATCGATAACAACATGATGGATTATTGTTTGAAGTTATTTATGAAACATAATAAGATTACTTTTGATAAGAGCACAGCTGAGGCCGCTGTTGCGTTGAGGCGATTAAGAAGCGAGTGCGAAAAAAAGAAATGTGACCTTAGCAATACTTTGTCTGCACGAATAATGGTAGAATATTTTCATGCCGGTCACAACTTAGATGTTGAGCTTTCACGGAAACAATTTAATGTTATGAATGAAAAGCTGTTTGTGCGCACTCGTGATTACGTAACGCGTGTGTTGGCACATGCGAGTAAAACTGTCGCAGATATTGACGATGTTATCCTGATTGGCGGCTCCACAAAAATACCTTATGTACGAGACATGTTAGCAAAGTATTTTGTGAAAAAACCATCTGATTCCGTACCCGTTGATTTAGCCGTGGCACAAGGTGCCGCCATTCAGGTAAAGTTACATTTATTAATGAATAATATGGTTTGTTAGTTAGTTTATTCATCAACAATTATAGTTTATATACAACGTTTTTAATGTATGTTTAAGTTTTAAGGTGTAATCAATTTATATTTAACCATGAATACCAAGTATTAATATTCCTAAAATCAATAGTAATGCATTGAATGTAACATTAGTAATATAATATTACAATTAGCGTTGCCAAACGTACAGGAACTTCCTGTATTATACAGGAATTTTCACTTAATACAGGAAGGAATTTTCATATTTGGAGTGTTAGGTACGCCCGAAGTGGGGGCAGACTTCCGGCTCAGCCTAACCTCCGAATAAAACAGACCGAAGACTAGGTTTAAAACACTTTTATTGTTGTTCACTATTGAACGTCAACGGAAAGAATGGTTAACATACATGATATGCACAGCTCTTATCTAGTCCTGAAAGTATTAATAGATATGAGATGTCTTCATTGAAAGACTTACAGACAATGAGTTGTTATATGCCTTTCGATGGAAAGTTACAATATAAGGCTTTCAATGAAAAGTTATAATAATTAATATACACTACAAATATAAAGTATCTACATAGACGTTTGTTATCAGTACATAAAAACTATTTGATGTAGGCTTCCAAACTTTTCACTGTTGTGTAATATAATTATCAAGTTATTAATCGCATTTAAATAT